CGACCTGGGTTCTAGTCTCTGCTCAGCCATGGAGCCAACTGGGTGACTTTGGGCCAGTCACAGACTCTCAGCCCAGCCTACCTCACAGGGTTGTTGTTGTGGGGATAAGATGGAGGAGGAGAATGATGTAAGCTGCCTTGAGCCCTTTGTAGGAAAAAGGCAGGATATAAATCGAAAAATACATACATAAATACATACATCCTAAAATGTAAAAATTAGTTTAACATTGAATGGAAGGCCATCTGAATGGGTCTGTCTTTTCATGTTTGCCCTTTCCTCCTTTTTCTGTTGAGGACGTTGCACTGCAAACTGAAAGCCATTTGGTAACTCCTTAATCTTTATGGACTCCCTGGAGCACCATGGGGAATGTTGTTTGGTAACGGCCCTAAAAGTTCCTGGAATATTAGAAGCTATGCTGGGTCTGCCCAGGGTCCACTGGGCCCAGCACCCCCTTCAACAGCAACCCATCCGAAGCTCCCAGGAACAGTGCAGGGTCAAGCGTCCGTCACCGTTGCTGCCCTCAGTCGGGATGGCCAAGAGTTGCACTTCCATTTGTTCTCAGAAAGAATTGACCCACATGGACCACATTGAAATGCAAAAGATTTGAGATGCTGGTGGTTTAAAAGGTGAGTGCTGAAGGAAGCAAGCCTAGAACTTTCCCCGTACCTGCTGCTCAGCAACGATATTCAGAGATGATAGCAGCAACCAGTGTCCCAAACCATCATCTTCAGACACGACTCCAAAGTCCGAAGGAAAGGATTCAGTCCCAGAAAGGAATTGAGAGATGGCTACTTCGCCAGAGAAGGGTTCCCTTCTATCCAGAGAAGGCCTTGTTATGATCCTCAGATTTGAAAGGTCTCAGGCCAGGAAAGAAGCAGCTTGCCCTGACCCTCTGACAATGTGACAGCCTGAGACTGCTTCAGAAGACCAAGCCCTTTTAAGGCCCCATGTCTCAGTAGAGGGAGAGGCAAGGCTACCCACCCTGAAGGTTTGCAACTTGCAGTTTAAGCTCCATGATTGCTCTGACTATTGTTGGAACACCAGGCAGACAGTGACCGGGTTTGAATGCCATGACAAGCAATTGTGAGGTTTTACCATTGTGGGCTTGTCATGTTGTGGCATTTCACACTGGTTTATGTCTGCTTGCTCTCACGATTGTACTTTCTGAATGCAGGAGCTCCATTTTTCCATTCATGGTGGAGGAAAAAACCACCATAGAGTCCTGCATAAAGAGTGGCAACAACAGTAGCCAGTCCAGGCAACTGCTCTGGAGTCATCGCATACACAAGCCATATTACTACTGGCTGAGTGCTGTACCTGTCACCTTCTTTATTTTCTGAGACAGTGAGAGAGCATGTCAATGCATGGAGGGAAAAGGAGTGAATCATGGGGGCAGGGGGACCTCTTGGGGGCTGGGTTGACTAGGAAGCATTAAAGAGGTGGAGGTACAATTAGAAGGTGGATAATGTAGGACATGCCTCAAAACCTCAGCAGACCAATTGGGAAGAGGCAGCTGAGGTTGCTGGGAACAATGCAGCCCGTGAGGGTTGCTGGGATGGGTGGCAAGAATAGGATCACGGAGGGGGAGCAGAAAATGATGGAGTCAGTCAGGGTACGTAGTTGTCTTTTAGGACAAATGGGGCAAGCTACCATCAATCATGACAACTCCCTACCTCTGCTTGTCATGAGGTAGAAACTGGGACAACCTGTCTGACTTCTAGCCCCAACTCCTTTTGGATCCGCCTGTAGTGTTGATCTTCCTGCAGAATCTCACCTGATCCCCGCTCAAGCTCTGATCCATAACAGTAACCTGTGACCCATCAGAACCCACGGCCTGAAATGATTCAGGGACACTGTACCTGAACATGGGGTTTTCATATGGACATCCTAACTAACAGCCATCAACAGCTGTTGCCTTGGAATCCGTCTAAGCCCCTAATGGCTACTAGCCTCATGACCTTCTGTGGCAATGAATTCAGCTAAGTAATCAAAAGTGGGCACGATCTCCTCAGGCATATGGGCCAGATGTGGCCCTCCTGAGGTCCTCTGTGGCCTGTTGGGTTTTCCCAGATCATTATTCCCCAGTTTTCCAACTGCCAATTGCTCATGGATAGCTCTGCTTGTGTCTTTTTGCAATGTTAATGCCTCTTGTGGCTTTAAGTAGAGATGAATGGTTGTTGTGATATCTATTACAATTTGCCTTTGTTCTGTCCACCATGCATCCACACATTTCTGGGCTCTGGTTTTTTGTGTGTGCATTTTTAAAAATTATTATTCTGGGTGTATGCCTTTTTGCACTTGGATCTGGATGATGGATATCGAGATGGAATAGTAAAGCATTAAATTTAATCCTAGTGATGTTTAACTGAAGTCCCTTTGATTTATATGGGTCTGCTCTAAGCATGGCTAAGCCCGGGTCCAACCTGAAGTCCAAAACACCTGGTGGGCTTCAAATTCCATTCCTGGTGGGCCAATGCTCAGGCATGCTGGCAAACCAAAACTTTCCCAAGTTGGGGAAGGCTGCCATAACATTAAATGTATCTTACATTATTACCTGTTAAGCATTACAGCTGACTGTAATGTCATGTAATTACGTTGTTGTGTATGTACCATTCTAAGCTACTTGGAAAAAACACGATACACAACCATCTTTAAAATATACTCCATTAAAAGCACCACATTCACTACAATGCCCAAACAGCATTACTTCTGAAATTCACATTGAGATTTTGCAACACTTAAAACAGATTTTTCCTGCCACTTTAGCAAAACATCTCCAGAATATTAGAAAGACCAGGATGGGCACCACCTGTGCTTTGGCATGTACCACATTTACAAAAGGGATAGGCTGATGTTAATTACATGCAAGCAAGGTAAAACTTAACTGCACAGGATACTTCCAGTATTTACTGAAACTTTAAAAATACCTTTATAAGAATACTTATTTTAGGGAACAGCCGGGACAGCCCACAACATTTGCTGCCCGAGACAAAGAGCAAGATGGCGTACTCTTCCATTGCAGGCACAGAAAACAAGTGGGTTGAAACTGAACCTCATTTCAGCACTAGCAACAGTACAGACTTCTCCATTCCAGGCAGTTTTAGTGGCCATAGGCCAGGCTGTGAGGCACTCATGGATCTGTTCTCTTGAAGAACAGAAGAGCTGGGAGACTGACGCTGCCACATCCTGGAATCTGCCCTCTGAGGCATAGCCTCACGTTGCCTTATAATAGGGCCGGTCCTGAGCATCATTTTGGAGTAAGAATGATAATTCAGAGGCATGACAGTCCATGTTGCCAAATGCTGGGAAGGCGCTAAAATCAGTTGATATTAATTGGTTGTCCTACCACAGTCTTCTCCAATGTCAGCAGCACTTCTGCAAATCTGTCGTGTGCACACTTGTGTGTGTATCAGCTTTCCTTGGGTGTGCATAATCTCCAGCCCCCAAGCTGCCACCATATAGGGCTCAGGAGAATGGGAATTGCCCGTCCCAATGGTCCTAAATGTTTGAAACAAGATCTTGTGCCTGATGAAGTGAACTCTAGTGCAGGAATGTTGATGCTGTCAAGCACTTGTTGGTCTTCAGTGGACCACAGAACTCTTGACTGGGAGAAGGAGAGAAACATTAACATTTCTAAAGAAGTATTTTGGGTTCTAATACTGTCAATCATTGCCAGCTCATGACTGAGAGCTTTACCATTAGGCAATGAAATGAACGTTAAATAAATATAGATTTCAGGCCAGCCACTGAGAGTCAAGGGAGTGGTTTGTAAAGGCTGAGGTTGGAGCAGATGCTCAAAGAGACAATATATTTTAAAATATTCCAAAGAATCAATCAAATGAAATGACCACCAAGAGTACACCCAGTTGATAGATTCCTAGATTTCAATTTTAAAAGGAGTTAAAAATGAAGCTAGTGGTGCTTCAAAGGCTGTCACAAAGGGGAAGGTCAAGATCTCTTCTTGCTGACGCCAGAGTGCAGGACACAGAATAATCCATTCAAGTTGTGACAACCCAGATTCAGGCTGGACACCAGGAAAAGTTTCTTCACTTTCAGAGCAATACCACAGGGGAACCAGCTGCCTAGAGAGATGGTGGGCTCTCCCACACTAGAAACATTCAAAAAGAAACTGGACGGTCCTCTGAGTGAGATGGTGTGACTTGGTGTCCTGCAACAGCAGGGGGTTGGACCTGATGGCCTTCATGGCCCCTTCCAGTTCTACTATTCTATGATTCTATGATACTGAAGTTGACTGAAGCTGGTGTTTTATACTGAATATCTGAATTCTAAAATATGTTCACATTAATTATACAAATGTTTAAGATTACTTTTAACCTTTGAAATTTTAAAACTTAAGAAAAAGTTGCATGTCTTATGTTTTAAAAGTTAAATCTCTAGAATTTATAAACTGGATGCACTATCAGTGGTCATTATCTCTGCTTTTGGAGTGCTGTAGCATGTACAGTGCATTGTCTGCATGTCAGTGAATGCAGTGTTTTAAAGTGGAGTAAGTATTAATGCATTCTCTTCCATGTTAAGGCTGTGCAATGCTTGGGAGTGTTCACACTATATTCAGGACATCCCTTGTGCCAAACGACTGGAAATAATCCAAAACTGGACAATTTCAGTTGTGCAGTGAAAGTATCTTTTGCAAAGGTTGTTCAGCTTTTTAATAAAAATCAAACTGCACACACTCACACAGAGATGTATTTGCTATTAGCTGCATCCTGCTCAAATCTAGAGCCTTCTCACAGGCAAGACTTAGAAGCCTGTCACAGTGACACCATCCAAATATTACCTTTAGAAGTGGATAGAATCATTCCTGATTCATACGGGCACAGAAAGAGTGCCTCACACTTCCCCTAACAATCAAATGTGATAGCAAAAGTATGCTTTGCACAAGCAGCGAAGTCCTAAAGAAGCTGCTCTTGTTTTTGCCAGAAATGGCTTGAAAGTCATGCGTGTTCAACAAGGTCTCCAAACTGAACCACTGAGGTAGCTTACACCAAGTCTAGTTTCATGCCATTGTTAGAGGTTTTATCCAGAGTCTCCATCACCAAAACTTGTGTTTTGTCTGCCCAGTTTCCCTTCTGAGCTGACCTCCCTGCCACAGCTGATGTCAGACGATGGCCTGGCTGCTGGGGGGGAGCTGCTGGTAGAACAGCATTGCTTTTTCCCCGTTGGGAATACGTTTCCCGCAGCATGACATCCCCCAAGCAAAGCTGAAGCCGGAAGGCTGCCTGGAAACCTCGGCGGAAGTTTTCATTGAAGAAGCCATAAATGATGGGGTTGACGCTGCTGTTGAAGAAGGCTAACCAATGAGCAAAAGGGTAGACGTAGATATTGATGATGTACAGCTGTCTTTCGCTCAGCTCAGCATAGTCCGAGAGCATGGCCAAGGTCCACAAAGGCAGCCACGAGAGGATGAAGAGCAGTGCCACAATGATCAGCATCTTGATGACCTTCAGCTTCTTCTTGTAGACAGAGTGGCGTTCTTGGCCTTGCTTCCCACAGGCAGGTGTGGCGATGTTGAAAAGAGTGATCCCTATCCGAGCATACATGATGACAATGAGAGAAAGAGGAGCCAGGTAGATGTTGGCAAAGAGGACCGTGGTGTAGATCTTCCGCATGTCCTGGTTGGGCCAGGCCTCCCGGCACCAGTAGACAGGGCTGGTTTTGTTGCCGTATCCAAGCACCACTCTATAATTCTCTTCTTCTTCCACCTTCAGCATCACTGCCGACGGACACATGATGGCAACCGCCAGAACCCAGATGACGATTATGATCACCACGGCTGTCCACAGAGTGAGCTTCTGCTTAAATGGATAAACAATGGAGCGGAACCTGGGAGGGAGAGAGAAGACACGATTGTTTGCATCTCAGATTTCAGAACAGCAAGAAAGGAAGGGAAGCATGGGAACCAGTATGGTGCAGGGAAGCAGGAATTAGGAAAACTCAAGCTCATCCAGGTTCTCCAAATTCCACCTTGAACTCCACATGTCTATAGAAGACGTGTGTTTTGGTCAAAGTAGATTTGAGTGTGTTGTTTCATGGACTTTTTCCAGATGTACATCTTTTAATGTAATTTTGTCGTCCTACAAATGAGCACAAGTCCAGAACTTGAGTGGACAAAGGTCTGAGTAGGGCTTCTGTTAGTCAGAGGAGGGATGCCTAATCCCACCTTCACAAGAAACAATTTTCCTTGCAGGGTGCCCCTTTATGGAACCACAAGTGTTCGTATCACCCCATTGCTGGGCTGTTACGTTGCTTTTTGTGTGTGACTTCTTCCCGTTGTTGCACACAGTGCTATTGCTGGCTGGGGCTGGGATGAAGGCTGTGCAGCTGGTGACCTCCTTCCACACTGGCTGCAGTGTCTGGCATGGAAGCAGGATCCTGCTTGCACGGAGCTTGAGTCCTGAGGAGCACAGTGCATACACGGGGCAGGCTAGGCAGCATGCCAGTTCAGGGGGGCCAATGGATTCCCACGCCCAGACCAAACTCTCCACACACCCCTATTGTGGACCATGAATTTTTGCCAATGTTGGGTGAGAAGAACAATCCAACTGGCATTTTCGCCTTGACTGCCAGGCTTCCAACAGAGTCCTACCTGTCCACTGCAATGGCCACCAAAGTGAAGACAGAAGCCGAGACCGATATTCCCTGGACCATCCCATTCATCTTGCAGACAATATTGCCAAAGGGCCATCCTGGAACAGAAACCATCCCATTAGATGAAGAGATCAAAACGATGTTCACTTTGCATCAGCACGGAAGGACACGGAAGGCCCGCCTAGGTGTGATGGGAGGAGCCACCTCTGTTGAGTGCTGGGCTGGTCTTCCTGATGCAAAGAGCCCGGGGTCGGGGAAGGGTTTGATCACTACATGAAAAGGAGGTGCTCAAGTGAGGGGTGTCTTTGGAATTTACTTTAAAATGTGGGAATACTTCCCTCTGCGCTTCAAGGAGTGGATCAGTGGGGCTGCCCTGATGGATCAATGATGATTTTTGTTCTTAGCATTTCAAAAATCAAAGGTGTTCTTCTCCCCTCACTTGGGCACCCCTTTTGATGTAACGATTAGACTCTCTCCCCACTGGCATTATGCATCAAGAAGGCGAGTGCTACATTCAACATCAGTGGCTCCTCCCATCACATGCAGGTAGGCCTTACATGTCCCGCTTGATGGGAGTTGCATGAACAGGTTCTGAAGTCAATGGGTTGCATCAGTCAGGATTTAATTGATGTCCTTCAATGAGACCCAAGTTCAGCTTTCTGGTATTGAAACTCCCATCATCTGTTTCCTGCATAGTCCATGGTGAGGGTTGGTGGGAGCTGCAATCCAACCACATCTAGAGAGACATGGGTTGCCACCCACTGAATTGCAACAACCCAAAGCAAGGCCGAGATGCAATGTCATGATTTCTTTGCAATTTATTTTTAAAGATTGAGAGTATTTACTTCTGTTCTTTGAGGAGAAGCCAGGGCTGGATCTAAGAAAGTTGAAGTTGGATCTCATGGAATAGGACATCAATTAAATTGTGACTGGTGCAAGACACTTGACTTCAGCGGGACTCGTTTTCAGTCTCATTCTAATTCCATATGAACAAAGTATTTACCCTATAAAGACTAGGGATGAGAGATACTGAAGTTTGCCAAAGATTCTCCAAACATCAGCTCACTGATTTATTTATTATTTATTTATTAAAACATTTCTATGCCTCTCCTTGATTTGACTCATGTTTGCAATTACATTTCATTTTGTACAAACAAGAAAATTGTGCAGCAAAATCCCAAATTTGCATAAATATTATCCATAGGTAAAAGCACGGGTGATTTAAAAGTTGCACATCTTGAGAAAATTGTGCACCTTTCAAGTAACACATTATATAAACATGAACACAACTACGGGGATTCACAAACTTTTTCGGAGAAAATACAGTCCCATTCACATTCACACGTGAGATTGTGAAGAGGCTGTTTCGAGTGCTTTGTGAACTGAACTGAACTTGTCCCTCCTATAGATGCAGCAATTCAAAACAGCGCAGCCCTTTGCCTGAGTCTCGCTTGAACCTGCAGGCCACCCTGCAAAGTTAGTCTCCAGGCATCACAAACCCTGACAGGACTTACCAGATATGATGCTATCCAGCAAGGTGGTGGGCATGCAAAATATCCCCACCAGCAGATCGCTGACGGCAAGATTCAGGATGAAGAGATTGGTGACGGTGCGCATGTGCTTGTTGCGCAGGATGATAAAGCACACCACTCCATTGCCGATCATGCACGGGAGGAAAATGAAAAGATAGGATATGATGAAGACTGCGGCTACCAGAGGCTGGTGGAGGTAGAAGTCCACATAGAAAACGTTGGTCACCGTATCACAGGTGCTGGTATCTCCACCACTGCAATTTCTCGCAGGTGGTGCATAGACTGAAGAACTGAGCTCCAGAGTTTTCACATCCATGTTCAGAGGTGCCTTCAGGAGAAAGAAAACAGGTTCAAGGATGGAAAGGTCATGATCAGGCAAAGCGGGGGCAGTTCTGTTCAAAGCTGGCTCATGTCCTTTGGGCGATCTAAAATTTTTACCTTGGCCAGTTTTTGGATGCCTTTCGTTTTTGTTATTCAGTGTGCATCTTATGATAAACCTATCACAACAGGGTGGGCTTTGGTCATTCATAGCTTTATCATTTGCCTGTTAAGGAAGGAGGGGCCCCCACCTGTCTGGAAAGCTGGCCATGTTCAGCAAGCTTGGCCACTTTCCATCCCACATTCCTTGCACACACACCTTAAAAACACCTTCAGGACCAGGGATGGTGTCTCTGGGAGTCCTTCCCACACTTACCAACAGGCATGAGTTGCTTGGACCAGGGTTCAGTGGCATGTGTGACATGCTGAAGGTGCCAGCGCTTGTCCCATTTCTAGTCCAAAGGTCCAGGTAGCGGAGGACACCCCCAGGCCTGGAGAACCACTGCCAAGCACACTAGGTGCCACTGGACAGGACACACCAGGAACTTCTGTGCCCGACGTTGCTGCCATCACCACCATGCCTAAGGGAAGAACCACAGTGGTCACCAGAAGCCACTTCAGTATGGAGCCACGCGGGGTGACATTTTAAACACTACCTTTGTGTGTCAGTGGTCTGACCCAATCAGACACTGCCATGGGGTGGTGTGCAGCTCCTGAGGGCACCACAGGGTTGCAGGGGTGGTCTTCTCACTTGTCTACATTGACATTGCAAGCCAGCTTGTCCCCCACCCTCACACTTCCAAGACAACAGGCCATTTTCGGGCAAAAGCCCTTCATTCTCCAGTAAGCACAACCAACAGAGAATGAGTCTCAGACCGTGCACAGAGCAGTCCATTGAACCCACCCTAGCAGGAATGCCCAAGCTTCCTTTTGAGTACCTCTGGGCCCCCTTCCTCCAGGATGGCCCCTTTGAAGTTGGGCAAGCCTCTTCTCAATCCATTGCCACTCTAGTGTTGTGTGTGCACATTCTGGCAAGATTCTCAAATGCACACAAGAAGGTGACCATTTTGGCAAGACAGTTCAGCCCCTGAGAGTTGAGACTTTGCATCTCTTTCTCTCTCTCTCTCTCGCTCTCTCTCTCTCTCTCATCCCCCACCCCAAAAAACCACACCCTGCCATTTTCCACACTGTTGCATCCCTTTTCACTGTCCTTCATGGAGCTTCACCACATTTTTAAGAGGGTCCCTCTTTCTGATAGTGGCATGTTTCAGGTTATCAAGGACCAGCTAGAGAATTGGCTGGCATCATAATGCCACCTAGCCAGTTGGGTTGGACTATACAAGGACATCACAGAGTCAGATCAGAGTGAGGGCAATACTTTATGCCCATAATGTGTCATTCGTAAAGCATCTAACATTTTCTAAGAATTACAGTGTTTAAAAAAAAGACAGCATCTGCCCTCCACTTTACAAACCAATAGACATGACAAAAGGAAAGAAGGATGGTGAAGGGGAAGAAAGGTGACCAAATATGGACAGCATTTCTTAAATTTATAAAACTGATTTTATAGTGAGGAATTAGTAAGGTCACTGAGATGCCCTTTGGTCTGAGCCCAGGCTGAAGGAGTGGACATCAAGACCTCATTTCTTTCAAAATTATAATTAAACATCAAAAAGACCATGTATTTATAAACAATTGCTTAAATATGATACTGAGACTCAACAAGTTAAAATATGTATGATGTGTTGGATGCAGAATATTGAAGAAAAAATACTGCCTTACCAATGGGAAGTCTTATGGATGAAGGATAAAAGAATTCACTGCATGCCAAGCATTAAGAGAAAATTGGTATAAGATGTACTTACAGTGGTATATTACTCCAAAACATACACAGAAAATGGATAAGAACTATAATGAAACATGTTGGAAATGTGAAGAGAGAGACTGAACATTTAAACCATATGTGGTGGACATGTGATAAAAGATTTTAGAAGCAGACAGATGCAGAAAAGACTTTAAATTGACTTTCCAATGAATGCCAAGAATATGTTATTGAGCATTGTGCCAGAGACTATTCCAAAGATTAAATCAGTACTATTTATGTAACAACAGTGGCAAGAATAATAATTGCTTCAAAGTGGAAAGCTGAAGATTGTCCAGCTGTTGAAGATTAGAAAAACAAGCTTGCCAAGCACACAACAATGGCAAAGCTAACTAATTATATCAACAGAAGGCCAGTTAAAGAATTCACTCAAAGATGGAAGGCTTATTATGAGCAATTATATAACTGTTAAAGAAAATACAGTTTTTATGAATGTCTGTGATTACCATTCAAAATCAAAGCAATGCTATAATTTATACCTAATTTCATAGACTAGAGAAATTTCTGATTGAGAATTGAATGGCTTGGATGGAACACTGGCTGACAGAGATTTTCACTTAATTATAAATGTGTTTAAATGTTATTATTGCATGCTAAAATTTGTGAAATGGCCCTTGGCACCTTCTTTTCTATATTTTTTCTTCTTTTTTATTGTACTTCCTGAAAATAAATTTCAAAAGATTTGGAAAAAAGGCCTCACTTCTTCCTAGGGTAGCCACTTAAAAATCAACAGAAAAAAACAGCATGTATCCATTAAAAATAAGAACAATAATGAACGCTGTATACGGTTTTGTATAAATTCCCATGTGGTTATTTCTGTGCGCGGATGCACACTGACTTACTGCTCCATACTTTCAGAAATAAAGAAGAAACATTTTGTTTTATTTTTGGGGCTCTGCTTGGCTTATAAAATATCTCCACTGTGTGATCTGAATACAGTATGAGCCATCTTTGCCCAGAGAGACTGAAGAATCATCTTGATCTCAGAGCTGTTCTTCCTTTGTATTTTCTTCCTTACCATCTTAATTCAGTTCCGGACCTTTGTGTGAGAAGAGCAAGAAAGAACAAGCATTTTCATCCTCCCGCGGTGCTAATGAAAGCACAGGCATAGAACAAAACAGGATGGAAAGGGCTAAATTACGGTGTGGAAGTAAGAACTCGGTCATTTAGATCAGAAGGCACTGCCTGGGCTAAGACAACCCGTAACGCACACTCAAGGGCTGAGCATGAATAGAGTGTAGGTTGTCGTTGGAGGGTGGTTGGTAGGTGAAATGTCATTCATTGTGCTGTCAGAACCCAACCGCTCTGACAAGCCACAACTTGCTAACTGGGAACAATCAGCCATGAAGGGAACAACCAGGGAGCTGTTTACCTTGGTTTGCTACCTCAACTGGGGCCAGGCAACGAGATAGCCCCTGCTTCAGCAACCCACAATTCAATGCCAACCCACACTCGATCCATGCTTATGAGGAGCAGGTGTCCTTGTGTTGTCTGAATGCAGTTGAACAGCACAATCCTGTTCCCGGTGAGCAGAGAAATAAGGTAGTGGTTTCAGGCAACATCTCAGGCCTGTGGGTCCCATCTGATGCCCCCTCCCAGGTTCCTGGAATACCCACTTCCTTGTCCCCTGACTGCCAATGGCTTGGCAGTTTCCTGGCTGTTTGCATTTTCCCCATTGGAACGGGGAGAAGTGCCCCTCCTTGGGGCTCAGGTGCTAACAGTAAGAGCCCAGAGCTAATATATCTAGGCAATGTAATATTTGGGCTCTGCCCTTTCAGCTTTTGCCCCCTTTGAAACATGGTTTCCATAAGCACCTCCAAAACCGAATTCACCCCATGGGCTGAGAGGAGTTCTGCACTCCCGGGGTAAGGGCAAGGCTGGGGACTTCGGTCTGCAGGAAGCCTGAGTCCTGTGAAAAGCCAAAGGTGTGTTTACCATAGAATCAGAGAATAGAGCTGGAAGGCGGCAGAGGTCATCAGGTCCGACCCCCTGCTCCGTGCAGGACAAGTGAAAGTATGCATACCAGGTGGCTGTTCACCTGTTGTCTCCAGGGCGAGAGAGCCCATGACCTCCCTCGGTCAAGGGTCCCATTGTGCTACTGCTCTGACAGTAGGAAAATTGCCCTGCTATCTAGCTGGAACGCGGCTTCCTTTCCCTGCGGTGGCGCCCCATCTATGGAATGCGCTCCCCAGAGTGGTCCGCCTGGCGCTGTCGTTATTTGTTTTTCGGCGCCAGGCAAAGACCTTTTCATTTAAAACTTATTTTAATTGCAAATTTATTGGATTTATTAGGATTTTAAATTAGCCGAGAATGCACCGGGGGGTTTAAATTTTTTTTCTTCTTTTAAATGGTTATATTGTTACTGTTTATGTTTTTTTTTTTTTTTTGGTATTTTTTGTGAGCCGCCCCAAGGCTTTGTTGCGATGGGGGGCGGCATAGAAATGTTTTAAATAAATAAATAAAACCTGAGCCCATTATTTCGTGTCCTGCACTCTGGGATGACTGAGAAGAGACCCTGGTCCTCCTCTGGGTGCAGCCTTCAAGGGCCTGCAGTGCGCTGTCCTACCTCCCCTCAGTCTTCTCTTCTGGAGGCTGAACACGCTCCGTTCCTTGCATCTCCCCAGAGGGCTGTTTCCAGTCCCCGATTCGGAAATGACGCTTCTCTTAATGCAGCCCAGAATAGCACTTGCCCTTTTCGCAGCCGCATCACATGGTTGACTCATACTCTACCTGTGACCTGCAACAGTCCCAAGATTCTGCTCACTTGCACGATTGTTAGCCAAACGTCTCCCATCTTGGAACGATGCATTTGCTTCCTTTTTTTTCCCCTAGGCCCTTTCTTGTTTCAGTTGCTGTCTCCCTCAGAAAGATGTTTTATTCATTAAAATAAGAAAAATAATGAGATTGAGCCGACATATGAGTTGCTACCCTAAAAGAAATTGAGATAATTGGTAAACGCCTAGAGGCTGGTGATGGGCTGGTGGGTGTGGGATTTCATCTCACAATGTGTGCATTTGATAAGGGTATCTGCTGAAGTTCATAATTAGCTGCAGAGACAGAAATGGGCAGGAGGCGGAAGGTGAGAGCATTTAGGTTTTAAGATTACTAATTTAAAA